AGTAATTTATTTATACTCTAAATACTATTTAAAATATTCGGACAAACCAAATTTAACATTTTTTAACTATAATGTATTAAATTATTATATATTTGTACTTGACACATTTACATATATAAAATAATGAAATGGTAAAATTAAATTACTGAAATTCATATTATTAATAAAAATGATATTATTAACCAAAAAAAATTAACAACAAAAGAATCAACAACAATGTTTATAATAAAAATCAAACAACTATATATTTCACATTTTTAAAGACTAAACTTAAAGAAAAAAACTATATAAATAATTTATCCGCATATATACAGGAGAATTACCTAGTTTTAAAGTAAAAAACAGAGTCAAAATTTGGAGTAAAATCCAATTTTTTTTTTTTGTTCTCAGTCTAGTGTCCTAGATGGATCAGAGATGTACCGGTCCGACCGGTTCGGCTTTCAGAAGCAAAACACGTGCACGTTAAATTTGGCGTTGACTTTTCACCAGAAAAACGATGATGGTTATTGTAGGGGTGGAATTATTTTCCAAGATCCGAGAACCGATTCGTTATCCGTTTGGAATCGTTTCGAAAATTAGGATATTCATGGAGCCCGGATCCGGATAAGAATAGTAAAATCTAGGATCCGTGAAAAGAGGATTCGGATAACAAAATTTTAAAGTCCGGATATCCGGACGCATTAAATATATTAAAAATATATATATTATATATCTATTAAGCTAATTTTATATAAATAAATATATATAAAAATTGATTTTAGTTTTTTTTTTATAATAAATTATATTTATAATGAAAAATATTATTTAAAATATTATTTAATAATTTTTAAAAATATATTTTTATATATTTATTAATTATTTTTAATATTAATTTCGGATCCGGATATCCGCGGATATCCGTTTTTTTGCCAGATATCCAGAGTCCGGATATCCGGAGGTCCCGATTCCGGATCCGGATAGGTTTTTTCACAGATCCGACGATTCCGGATCCCTATCCGGATACCTTGAAATTCCAGGATATCCGGATCCGTTCCACTCCTAGGTTATCGAATGAAGCAAACAAGAACTTCATTATAATCTGATGATTATGAGCTTTCACTGTAAGAACTGATTCC